TATTTATTGTTGCAAAAGTTGATGGTCCACATAGATCAATGTGAAGAAGTTCCAATGGATCTACTATCTTTGAATCTATGACAATCGGATGACCTTTTCGATGTTGTTTTCCTTGTTCGCAAGCTGCACACAAAGAATCATTGTCAAATTTTAGTACTGGTAACCCTCGAACTAAATCTTCAGTTACAAGTTTATTTATATTTCGAAAGTTCAAATGTGACAATCTTTTATGCCAAAGCCAACTGAGATCATTAGATGCTTTTGATAGTAAACACACAGCTGGTTTTCCCACAATTGGTTTGATGTCCAGTGTAAACATATCACCATATCTTTTGGATTTGAGAAGTATTTCATTTGTCTTTGCATTTGAGATAATACTTCCTTCTTCATTAAACACAACTTGATTTCCAGTACCCACAACAAGTTGTGATACACTTATCAAATTATGTTGAAGTCCTTCAACATAAGCAACTCTATTTACTGTGAAGTTTCCATTTGTAACATTCCCATATCCTTTCACTTGACACTTGTGATTATTTCCAAATTTGACAACTCCAGCATTTTCCAAGCTTCGGTAATCTCGCAAATTTTCCTTTCTTCCAGTCATATGACGAGAGCAACCACTATCAATATACCATTTTGTATCATATTGCTCATCACATATCACCTGCATTTATTGAAAAAATTTAGGAACCCAAGACTTATTGGGTCCATCATTAGTAGAATTAAACAACGTTTGGAACTTAAAAACCATGTTTTCAGTTTGTTTGTAATAGAATCCATTATATCAACATTGTCAGTTCTAGATATTGAAATATAGTCATTCAATAATTTTGGATTCTCATTGATTGTAATCTTATCCTTCACAACATTCACATTTCTAAATAACTGGTTTCCATTTTTGAACTGGAACTTGTGAATTATGGGATGATGTACTAGCAGTTGAAGAATTATTTGTGAACTTATCAAATGCACTTTTGATTTGTTGTTCTGAAAACTTTGCACTTTGATATTTCTTTCCTTTCCCTTCAAACCAATGATTGATCATACTTACATCAAACTTTCCTTTGATGTATGAAACTTTGGTTGGTTTTGATATTGAAGGATTTGGAAAATTTGGTTGTTGTGGTGAAAATTTCTCTTTGACTTGAGTTGAGCTCTTCAAACTTGATGAACTATTCGTGAATTTGTCAACATTTGGAAACTTTTGATTATTTGCAATTTTTTGCGAATTCTCAAATTTTCTATTGTTGTCATATTTGCGAATATATGGAACTTTGTCAACAGAATTTATTTGTTTATGAAAACTTGAAGTTGTTTGTGTGTTTTTTTTTTGAAATTTTGATGATGTTTTTGAAATTTGTTCTTTTTCATCTTTTGATTTTTCTTTTGTCACAACTTGCCAGAATATTGCTTTTCTTGCTTGTCTTCTTGAAACATTATTTTCTGTTGAATAATTTCCAACCATCAATTTGAATTCTTGAGAATTTAGTTTCACTTCAACCTTTGAGTTTTCAGCTTTTTCAAAATTTTGTTTGATTTTTCACCTTTAACCACCCATTTTTGTAATGATTTTTGTTTTTGAAACACATAAGATTTTGGGTTAAATTGTTTTCTTCTGTGTTTTGATTTGCGAAAAAACCTTCAGTTGTGGACTTTTGATTATCTTTTTCAATCATTTATTGAACTCAGGATGAACTTTCTCAGCATTTCCAGTAGTGACAAAAACTTGATTTGGAAAAATAGTTTTATCAGTACATACAAAATTTGGATATACCACTGTGTTGGTTTCCAAATAATGTGCGCCTTTGTCATTTAAAATTTTGTCAAATTCTTTTGTATTTTCAAACACTTGATCAACCACAACCCTTTGATGTGTTTCAGTTGAAATTTTCTTTTCTTCTTTATTTTCATTAGTATCATCAGATTTCCAGCTTTCAACTTCCACATTATCAAACTTACAATGTTGCGAAGTTGAAGATTTATCAACTTCATCCTCTACTATTGAATCAACTATTATTTCTTTACCTTTGTTCTTAGATGTGATATTAATGACGAAATTGAGAACAATCAATCTCTTTCTTCTTCTATTTCACTGATTTCACTCACATTATCAGAATTTTCATCAATATCAGCATAATTGAATTGTGAAGTAAGAGTTGAATTTTCGGTTTTCTTTAAGATTTTCACTTGTTCACTTTTTGTCAAACTTTCATTTACAATATCAACCAACTCATCAGCATTCAAAAATTCATCAGTTTTGACAATACCATATGAATATCTATCATCAGTATTTTGTCAAACTGAGCAATTGTACTTTCGCAATCATAAGAAACAACATCAACTTTTTCACGTTCATACTCAAGAAAAGGTAAAAGTTTCCTATGTTGTTCTTTGCTAATATCAGAAGAATGATGTAAAGCTGTTAATTTTGCATACAATCGTTTTGCTGAATTACAATATATGTTTCTTTGTGCTAGCAACAACCTAACATCATTAGAAAAATTATTCCTATCACAATCTATATTTTTGATTTGCAATTCTAATTTTTCAACTCTGCTCTTCCTTATTTCTAAATCTCTTCGTGTCTTACTAAGTTGCACATTTAATTCCTTAGCTTCATTACTAGCAGACACAATAACAGAATCAAAATAAGCCACAATATCATTAAATGAAACAATTTCAGCATCATAAGCAGATAAAGGAATATTAAAAGATTCAAGAATTGCACGTACCTTGGTTGTCATGGGAGACTTGTCAGTGGATTTAGACATAAAACATTGCCCTGAAATGTTCTCTTCGCAATCCTCAAAAGTTGCGAACATTGCTCCATGTGTGGGATGCTTCATTTGTTCGTCATTAGATCTTGAAGAACAGATCTGATAAGTTCCACTTTCTTCTTCATCAGATTCTCCCTTAGCAACTAAAGACACTCCTTTGTTCTTTGCACGTAATTCTTCAATCTTTTCGGAATAGTAAGCTTCATCTTTCACTTTTTCTTTCTTTTCTTCTTTCTTTCGCAACATGCAATCAGCTACGAAATGATTCACACCATTGCAATAGTGACAGTAAATTCCTGAATCACCCTTCAACTTTTTCTCTTCATTCGCATTTTTCTGTTTTTCATCTATTTTCTCTATTTTCTTCCTCTCCTCTCCTCCAGTTCTTGTGACATCATTTTTCACATCACTATTCTTTCCTTTTGGATTAAAAGGCTTTTTGAAAAACTTTTTAACTCTGTTGTTTGAATAATATATGCTACTGCTTCATCATCGGAGTTCATCAAAAATCCTTCTACATCTGAACCATCTTTTTCATCAGTTTCTGATACTTTTGAAACAAGAGCCAAAGGACCACCAATAGCTTGTTTTGATTCTTCATACATTTCTGTGACCTCACATTCATGTGTTTTCAGTTGATTGTAAAGATCATTCAGTGTAGTTGTATCAAAACATTGTTGATTCTTAATCATCATGCTCACACCTTGCCATTCCTTGCGAAGACTCATAATGAAAGTTAAATTGAACTCCATGATAGATCTAGTGATACCATACCTATTGCATCGAAACATAAGCTCATTCAGACGATCATAACAATTTTCGAGAATTCTGTATCCTTTTGTCTGAATTCCTTCAGTTCTACTAGACATTGCTTCACAGAGTTGATCTTCGTCTTTTCACTACCTTGATACTTTTCTTTTAGAGTATTCCAGATCTCTTTTGCTATTTTACAACTACGAATGTAATTGTAAACCACAGGAGGTAGAGCACCTCTTAGTTCTCTCATGCATCTCTTTTCATTTTTCTTTGGTCGATTTCGTTGTTCTTCAACATCAGTAGATGCAGTGGATGTTCCAATTGGTTGAACATTAGCAGGAGCTTGTACTGTTCCATCGATACACTTCCAAAGTTCTTCATCAATTCCATTTAAGTAATCTTCCATTCTATCAGCCCACTGATCATAGTATTCTGGAATTAACATCGGAATTTTGGTTGAGGAACCAAGCAAGTGAGAGAAAGAAGTCATTGAATTCGTGTTAAAGTTCGCCATTGATGAACACAGAAAATGTCTGAAAACATGAAAACTTGATGAATTTTAGAATTTTATCAAATGAATTGATCACAAATCACTAATCGATTACTCGACTCAACAATTCAAATGCAGAATCAATTCAAATCTGAAGATCAAAAGTGATTTTCAAAATCAAAAATGCGCGGAAAATTTTGAGTGAATTTGTAACTCAAAAAGCAAATGATTCTTATATTAAAATCAGATCTAAGCAGTTTGAATCCTGCTCTAATACCAATTGATGAGAATTGTTATCGAGAATTTAGAAAAGAAAAGATAGATTTGAACGATTTAAGATGAAGAACACAGAGAGTAAATATTAATCAGATCTTATATTGATTAAGACTGATTACAAAATAAGCAGAAGTGAGTTCTAGCATCCGTCCTTCTACTTCTAGTCTAAGTCCCTATTTATAGGGAACAAACAAAAAATATACTAAGTCTATACATTTTCACTTCGCATAAAAGATGACTTAGTAAAATAACATAAAATGCGAAACTATACAAAACACTCTATTCGACATTTGACAATATACATCAACATTGTTCTAATTCCAATTGGTTGCCTTTATTCTGAGAACATGTCTTGGTTTAAGTTGCATTGGATTGGCTGGTAATTCCGAATATGACAAAAATGAAACGACGGTTTCCTGGAGATAAGATTTAAAATTAGGTGTGCTTTTGAATTTGTTGACATCATGCATGTTAGTTACAACGGCATCTGACGCTATTGAGGAGCTGTCACAATTTTCTAGCATACTTTTACGGGGTACAGGAACATCAAACAATGTTTTTCTCTCACCACTCATAAAAAATCGTATAAAATGGTTTTGGATGGTTTAATTATTCTCACTGCTCACACATTATTCAAGACCCTTAAAGAAAAAAACAACGTTTACTCTCTATTGTTCAAGGTCTTCTTTGTTGCTTCAATGGCAAGATCATCAAAAACCGCCTTGTTCGCTGACCAATCAGCCTCTTTCATTATGCTAAACATGAATCCCAATTGGAATCTTACAATCGATCTTGATTCACCGTGTTATAGTGAAGCTCTTGGGCTGATGATTGTATGCCTAAAGTTCTTGCCACTGGCTCAAGCTTTAACCATGGCTGACTCTATTCCACTAGTCCATCTTTCAAAGGCTTACTCCTTTGCAATGTACAACAATGTATATGATATCATCCACTTGAAGGTTGCATCTCACAAGACCTCGATCACTAGGCCCCACTTCATCAAAATTTGAGGGCTTGCTTCTTTTGAAGCTCTCATGCATCGAGAATCGATTTCTTCCACTACTCTACATCGAAGACATATCCCTGTTGTCAATGTTTAAGAAGGCCTTTCTTCCTCCAATGTGGAATGGGTTGTTCACTCTTTTGTTCAAAAAGTTTTTCTTAAAGAGTTTTAGGTTCAGACAGATGTAAGTTTTTCTATATTTTTATTTATGGTCTCTTCCATGGTGTCAATATGGATTATGGTGCTATTATGTGGACTCAACTCATCCAAATCATAATCTCCACCACTCACCACACAGAGAACTCATATGCTCACTTTTGGTTAATAGTGGTCGATCGTGCCTTGGGCCACTTCAAAGTAAAACTAATGCAAGATTCTGTCATGCTGCTATGCCGATACTCCAAATGATTACGTGTACGATGTCTGACCCCATGAATTTCACATTTATCGGGTCCATTCAAGAGGAAATGTTGGTGAAGGTTCCTCATGGTAATGTGATTGTGAATGAACATCGAATGTTACCAACATCTGGTGTTCGTCTAATGCCGGATGATTTACGAAAATTGATTGGTGAGGGAAACAAACTAAAGAAGGGAGGCAAAAGAAAAGAAAAAGCTACTCCTTCTGAAAAAGTTATTGCCTCAAAGAAAATCATGAAGGAAGCCAAGAAACTAAGATCTCCATCTCCGGTTGCTCAAGAGGACTCGAAATCAAGAATTGTCTTAGAAATACAATAGGATGCTACAATTCAGCATGCAAAAGAAGACATTACTGCTACTTCGGAACCAACTCCTACTAAATCAATTCCGAAGGTATCAACTCCAAATCCTTCTTCTGTTCCTTTTTCAAATGACTTTCAGATAAACACTCCACCATCCTCACCTATCGGAACTACCGTTCCAATCTCCTCTCTCCCTCCATTGCCACCAAAGATTTCTATAAGAATTTCACTTCCTCAGATCTCCGTCTCTCTCTCTAAAAGGTTACATGCCAGTTCTAATAGCGTAATCGAATGTTTAGAAATCTGAACACATAAAGTTTCCAGATCCGATCAGCAACATACCCTAGATCTGATCAAATAATAACATATAAACCACCTTTATAGCTATAACATAAATCATTTAGCACATAAAATTATTTTAGGCATCTTTCGTAAAATAAACTAGTGCCCATGTCTAAAATATAGACGACACTTATCTCACAGTTATCGTTTATCAATCTAATTTGAAGTCTAGAAATGTGCCAACCATCAAAGTTCGAGTCAGTTCTAGATTTGACAAAATTTACTTGAACGTATAGGCATGAAACATACTAGCCTTAGTAACTAGAAGCTAAGTTATAACCTACTAGAAACTTGGAAACAATTAGGATGATGGATAGTGTACTTAGATTTCACATTGATATGTGAATTCTACAACTACTTAACTGTAGTGACTATCTATATTCGGGTCACTCATTTAGTCGAAAACATTTTCATGAATCATATACACACATTATGCACTTGACCTAGTGGTACCAATTAGGTCCGAGTTGTTGGATTAGGTGTTTAAGCCCATAAATATTTTTTGTATGTACTTGATTTGATTATGAGGATGATCCTTTTGGGTTGCCTTCACTCATGAAACTTGATAGGATGACAAGGGGAGAGAGAGCAGGATTTGTTATACGAGTAATAAATTGGTTCTCAAAATGGTTTTATTAATATATTACAAGATTAATATATTATTTGGAAATCATATTATTTAATTAGTATTGATCCGAAATTAATTTGGTGATCAAAAGAGACTTATTAAATTAAGGGGATTGATATTGCAATTAACTGATAGTTGCAAGTTGGGCTGTGGATTCCAAATAGAAGGGATGGGCAAAATCTATGGAAAGCCCATATAGATTTCGTCCAAGGGGCCTTCTAGAAGGTTTCCATGGATTGCTTATGGCCTAAGCAGTCATATTAGGGTTTCCATCTAAAACTCTAGCAACCACAAGTATAAATAGACCCCAATATTAAGGATTTTCGCACGATGCTTTGTGAAACCCTAAGGTGGCCAAAAATCCTTCTCTCCCAATTCATCTCCTTGAATTGGGTGTTTATGACTCCATTAGAGGTGCAACACTTGGGCAATAGGCGTTCAGAAGTCAAGATCAAGAAGGATTTCTCTTGTTATTGGTACATAACAGGTAAGCTAAAGTTTCTAACCCTAATCATATGTGATTTTCGAATTATGTATGCTAGCTCATAGGGTTATTGCTTTGGTATTCATAGTTGTATGTTCAATAGAGAAAAACTTAGATCCAAAGTAATTAGGGGTGCATGTGCATCATAGAAGTATTATTATTATGCCCCATAACCCAACACGAGTCTCGTAGGAACTTATGTCAAATTTGAAACTAGGACTAGTATCATTCATCCAAATTCACTTGAATCTCGAAACCACTACATAGAATTCCAATAAACCAATAAAAATGAATTACAAACATTATTTATAACTATAAAAGAGTTATCATACTATAAAATAATTTGAAGCCTCAAAGATTCAATTTCTTTTGATATTCAAAGTTTAGCAAAATCCAGAAAATCCCTAAAAACCCTAATACATAAATTTATAAACTTTAACCTTAAAATTATATGAAAATAATTAGGAACCTTACAATATCAATTAAAATAATTAAATTTAGGGAAATATAATAAATGAATATATAATTTAAAGTATCAACATATATCCTTAATTAATAGATTAAAAATCAAGGGTTTTATGAACTACAAACTAGGCAAAATACATTTTATAAAAAAGTTGAATCATTTTTATAAAAATAGCGAGAAATTTTTATAAAAGAAACAAAAGAAAGGGAGTCTCTATCACAAAAAAATTTGGCCTCCCCTCTCCCAAGACAGTCCTCCTCTTCCGAAAACACATAATCATTTCTCTCTTCTCCACACTCTTCACCTCTTCATTCTCTCTCTCACACTCTACTATCATTGATTGAATTCTGTCTTCTTCCTCCCACTAAACTCACGAAAATCCCCAGCCAATAACTCCTCCCAGCACAAAATATTCATCCTCAATTGTTGTTCTTAGAGGTAGTCCCGAAAATCCTTTACTTTCCTCTACTTTTCTTTCAATTTTTACGAAGTTTCCTACACTTTCTTCTTCTTCTACACCATTCTATTGTAAAGATCATGAACCCATAAACATGCACACACACCTATGATTTTGATGATGATGGTGGTAGGATTTCATCTAAAAACAACTTGCATGTTGTAAATGGTGAAGTCCCATGACCAAAACCTAAGTCAAAATCAACATGATGCACTTTTATGCAAGTTTCGGAGGAAAATCACCACACTCACCCTAAGTTTTCTTTCAAAAATAACTTTTGAACATTTCAAACTCATGAATGGTCTTCAAACCAGCATGCATGTGATTATCTTCAAGCTTAGATGCTAGATGATCAAAATTTGTTTTTTAAAGCTTTCAAATATGTTCGTAAATGCTTTACTCCCAAATAAATATCTAAAATTTCTTTTCTGTTCAAATATGATTTTCCTAGAATCCAAACAACAAAATAAGATAAGTTGTAAATTTTCAGAAAATAATTCATTTTTCTCGCATTACTATAATTATTGCAATAAAATAGAGCAATAAATCCTATAAAATACTTTCTAAGGTGCATAAATCATGGATAAATTTGTGGACAACACTTAAAGTTAGTAAAGGCTTTTCGAAAGGTTTCATCGATTTTTGTTTCGTTTAGTATGGGTTTTAAGTTTGTTTTTGTTTAGTTCCAATAAATCATAAAACCACTTTAGGGAATTTGAAAATCGTATTTATGATTTTTTCGCAGCTCCTAATCAATATGGAATATTCAGAAAAATATTTTGGTAATTTTCCATAATGCATATCTATTTTTCCATGATTTTTTTCTTCATAACGGACTCTAAATGGGAAAAATAGTTTTACTAATCCAACATTCATGAAAATTCACCAGAACATTTTGTAATATATTAGGATGCCATAGAAAAAGTTGCACAATTTTTTATCTTTTGTAAGCTATTTTTGTTCTATTTTCCTAAGAGTAAATACACTTAAATCTACAAAATCAGACTCTAATATATAAAATCACATTTGGTATTTTTCACAGATTATGTACACTATATATAAAGTTTACAAAATTTTTGGTAATTTACCTTAACTGTTTAATAATTATTCACGAATTAATGATTATTTAAGTGAATAAAACAAAGAATAACAGTCAAACTTATTGAAAAATAACTTTTATATTTTTCATAGCTTCTATATGTTTAGTAACACTAGTACAAAATGTTTGACAAATTTTGGAAACTGTTTTCTGTTTATATCCATTTTTGTTATAATAAATGCAAAAATAATAAAATCGGGTTAAACTTTTTAGAAATCCATTTTCATATTTTTTCCAACTTATGTACAATTTGTTTAAAATTTTAAAAAAAAGTTTTGTAATTTTCCTTAATTGATTAATAATTATTAACAAATTAATGCTTATTTAAGTGAATTAAACAAAGAAAATATCTAAGCTATATGGAAACCAACATTTTTATTTTTTCCTAGGTTTTATATATGTAATAGAAGTAGAAAAAAAAGTTTGGGGAATTTTTGAAATTGTTTTCTATTTATCTCTATTTTGATAGAGTACATACACAAAAATCATAAAAAATCATATTAAACTATTTGAAAATACATTTGATTATTTTTCCCATATTATATTTGTTTCATATCAGTGGTGCACAAAATTTGGGAAATTTTTTAACTGGCAACTATTTTTCATGAATTTATATCTATATAGAGAATTAAATGTATCTATAATCCATGAAGTTTTATTTGGAAGTGTTTTAATACAGTTAGAACCAAAATCACAAGTTGGTTATTTTTAGTAATTGTTTAGTATTTTTCATGATTTAATGATTATTCATGAAATTAATATGGCGAAAAATTCCTAGACAAATCAAATTTGCAAGAAAACTTATCTTAA